CCTACAACACTTCTCAACCTTCTATTAATACCTACTACTACCTCTTCTAATATACAATATAACTCTCTTCTCCCTACCATTCTTGGAATATATTCCAAAATAATATATCAAAATATTAAAATCTCAACAAAAAAACAAACTGAACTTCTTTTCATCAACCTTTTGAATAATCTTCTAAACTGGTTCTATTATAAAATATAGTTTCAATGAAATTCTTTTCAACATCAATAGGAAATAGCTCGTAACATTACACCCAAGGTTAAACGTAATAAATTATCTTTATTGCCATTTACTAATCAAACAAATATACAAAAACTCTATACTCAACCAATAGATCCATAATATGCCATTAAAAATGGTACTTACAAGGCTTCTCTCTAATAACATGCTTTTTTATAATGTCATGATTAACACTTTAGATCTTCTTCTATCTATCCTAACTAGAATTATTTTATTTATTTAAATTAATAATAGTATTCAAATAGGAAATAGGAGGTGTAATATTACATTGGGTGCTCTGTAGCACAAATGTAGCTAGAAATCTTTATCATAGAAAATTTTCTAAAACTATATCTTCTTATTATTAGCTAGTACTGAGTTGAAGGAATTCAGCAGCCTGGTCAGGTGACTTATCTGCCCCCTTACCCAAGTCTTTTTAATAACAGGAAGACTATTAATCTTTAGATTAATATAGGTTTATTGTAACAAAGTTTCTACTATGACATTATATTAATAAAAAAAAAAAAAAAAAAGATATTTCCTTTAATCTAGTTATAATTAATAAATCTTTAAGAGGCTTAACCTTTAAAATTAAAGTAGAAATATTAACTCTAAAATTTTCTTTAAACAATAATAACAAGAACTAAATTTATACTTTTTTATTTTATTTTTTCCTCATCTGATTTTAAGTTAGAATAAAAAAAAAAAAGAGATTATTAATTAATAATTTAAAACTCTTTTTATAATAAATATAATTGATTAAATCTTGATTAGACATTATTGTTATCTCTAAATTGAACATTAATTGATTTTGCAAATTTTGTGATTCATATAACAATTATTAAGAATCTTAATAATTAAATTGAAAACTAAAGCCTTAGTACTTCTAAAAGTTAAAAAGAAGAATTGCTTTTAGCCTTATACCAAAGCTTAAAAACAACTTGTAAAAGAATAATTTATAGCTATACTTATTCTTATATTTAGTAATATCACAATAAAACTCAAAAAGACTTTAAAACTTAAACCAAGTCTTTTTATACCTCTTTCTGCTTGCCAATTCAAGTTTTTAGGATTTTTGAATTATAAATTAGTTGTTAGAGTATTCAGAATTAGCTAACTTTGGCTTTAAATAATAAAGTCTCACTTTTTTAATATATGTAGAAATATATTATACAATTCTATACAGCTTTTTTTTAATATTTAAAACTTTCTTTGTGGAAGTCTTGCTAATGCTAACCAAGCAAATTATATTATTCACCACTTATTAATTATATTATAGCACCAACTAGTAGTATATTCAAAATAAATATTTTCTAACAATAAATTACCAACCTAAATTAAGTGCAAAAAGCTTAGAATTTTTAACCTTTTATATGTCAAGAAAGTGCTTTAATAATAATTATTTATATGCATATTCTGAAGCTTAAGTAAGCTGCTAATAAAAAATTTAACTATAAAGATCTTAGATTTTTTGCATTGTATTCGCTTATATATATATATATATATATATATTTATATATCGAATATGCATTTAAATTTTGGCCGATTGGCCAATTGGCCACATAGGCCAAAGCTTTTAGTTTTCTGCCGCCAATTGCCAATCAACTTTGGCTGCAAAATTTTGGCTATTTTTTGGCTGGCTAGACAAAGATTGGCCAATAGCCAACAAAATCACTTGGCCGCTAAAAATTGCCAACACTGACCGTATATATATACTGTATATATATTTGAAAAAATTATTGATTCGGTCCCTTTTTTCTCAATTAAACGTTAAATTCGAAACTTTCCCGACGGTCCTAGTTATAACCTCTAGTACGTCGGTACTTGCGGTACATTAAACCAATAAATTTGATCTGTGATAAATTAGCCAATCGCAATAAAAGTTCGCTATGCATATCGATCAATATAGTCAAAAACCATAGCTTTTTGGAACCAATGGTTAAGGTCCACGTTTATCTGGTAATAATATTTTATAACGCTACGCGATAAAGTTTTTTCTCGTAATTCTTATCGTTCGTGGTCATAATGCGATGCTTATTGTTCATTTTTGTCTTCGTACTTACAGTGGGCGTTTTTCACGTGGAACCAAAATCAACAACGGGTGATCGCGTGTTGGTCTTACTAGATAAGGAGGATGACAAAGCATTATACAGTAAATTTTTCAACTCTCTAGAAGGTGGGTGATTCAAGTTTTTATTTAAAACTAATTCAATAATCTCACTGATTAAATTTCTAAATATACAAATTATCAAAAACTTTAATCTTAGAACGGGAGTATAAACTAACATACAAGCTGCCTACAGACTCTAATGTGGAATTATTTTCTTATGGAGAACGAGCATATGACCACGTTATCAATTTTGCACCAAAGACAAAAAGTGATTGTTGAATTTGAAGTGCATAAATGCATTAAACTTTGCAATTATATTCTAATATCAATTTTATTTAAAAAAAGATTATAAGGATAAGGTAAACCCCCTTTCTCTTCTCAACTTCGTAAACAATGGAGGCAATATACTTCTAGGAGCTTCATCAGAACTTTCTGAAACGATCCGTGATTTTGCCCGAGAATTTGATATCGATTTTGATGATCTAGACACTTCCGTAATAGATCATTTCAATTATGATAAGTCTGACGATGGGAAACATACACTTATAATTGCGAAAGGCATAACGAACAATGAAGCTATTTTAACCAAAAACGTGATTGAAGGACCTCCAGTGCTTTTTAGGGGCATAGCACACAAAGTTGGGACAGTACCATTACTGACTAAGATATTATGGGCCGGCGAAACCGCTTATTCATATGAAACTAAAGCGGATCAACAAGTAGACCAAGAACCATTAGTTGTGGGAAGTAAAGCTATGCTTGTATCAGCTTTACAAGCAAGAAATAATGCAAGGATTACATTTGTTGGAAGCACAGAGTTGTTCAGTGATAGGTAAAATTTTGGTTATACCTATGGTGTGTAAATGCAAGTTGTATTAAATTTCGGCTAAGAGATTTAAATAATTTAGATTTTTCGATTCACCCATCCAAAAGACTAATTCTGCAGAATCGTAAGCATTGTTTTAATTCTATTAAAATTATTTGGTTCTGTTTTGATACTCAACCATAAATAAATTATAGATTTACCAAGTCGGGTAATGAGGATTTTGTCAAAGATTTGACAAAATGGACTTTTCAAGAGAAAGGAGTTCTCAAGGTCACTTCTAGGAATCATCATAAAGAAAACGAAACGGAGGAATTAGAAGTCTATCGTATTAAGGATAACATTGTAAGACAAACTCGTTATGTTATTTATCCTTTACAAATAGCCAACATTTTTTTTGATTTATTTAGGTCTATACTATTGAAATTTCCGAATATGCGAATGATCATTGGCAAGCTTTTAATGGCACCGATGTGCAATTTGAAGCCATAATGTTGGATCCCTACATTCGAAAAACTCTTACGCCATTGCCCATATTACCAGAACAACAAGCACGAAAATATAAAGCGCACATTCAATTACCAGATGTTTATGGTGTATTCACTTTTAAGGTCAATTACAAACGATCTGGCTATTCATACATTGAGGATTCGAGTGTTGTAGCAATTAGACCCTTTAGACATAATGAATATCCGAGATATATATCTGCTGCATATCCTTATTATACAGGAGCTGCATCAATGATAGTTGGTTTCTTATTATTCTCAGTTATCTGGTTTTTCAATAAGGAAAATTCAAAGAGAGTAAAAAAGAAGATGAGCTAGAATAGTGACTGAAATGAGTTAAGATATGTGCATGCTAAATTATCGTAATATGAGGTTTCTTGATTTTTTGAAATTAATAATAAAAAAAAAAAGGTGTGTTTTGCGTGGTTATAGTGTAAGTAGTCACGGTAGTCATGTAAATTCACGCAAAATTGATTTCTTTATTATATTCACTAATAATTCTAGCCATAAGAGTATGGTTTGATTATTTGTTGCATTAATGAATTAATTACATATTATAATTTACGTACAATGTTTATAACTCATTGTTCATGATGGTTTACACCATTGCTTTTGATCCAATATTGCAATCGCAGCACCAAGACACCATCCAGTTTCAACGTCCTTGATCTTTTTAGCCATCTTAACCTCTCTTTCTAGTGGAATTTCATATCCAATATGCAATAGTCCATATATAAATGATAAATCCATACAATAATGAAGATTCTTTCGAAGCTCTTTCATCGCCTCCGGTAAATGTTCGAATTGCTCAATATTTCCAATGCATACATCATCAGTCAGTTCCCGAAGCTCTTTAAGAGAAAATTCAGACGGCATACCTAACGGACTAACCCGATCGTAGAAATATGAAAATATGTATATTTCATTGTTCGAAAATGTTTCGCTGATAGGTGGCTGATATACGCCATTAAACGAACAAGGCGATAAAGAGCATGTTTTCGTTTTATTAAGCACTTGCTCTACGATAAATCGACACTGAGCATGTCCAGCACCAGTCCCAATAAGCGTGATGGTATCCTCATCAGATGAATTGGGAAACGGCCATATTTCAGTGTAATTTTTAGGGAAACAAGGATGAGGAACGTGGCCTTTTGAAGGAATATGTTCAGAATCAACATTTTCCATCAAACTTATGTCTCTGTCACGCCATATATCAACAACAAAATTTTTAATTGCTTTCCTTGCCTCCATTAGTCCATAATGTAAATATGAGTGTTGATAGAGAACATATTTGTGACCTCCATATTCTAACTCGTATCTATGATCTCCCCCCGCAACTTCAGTACCATCCGTCATTTCCGGTTCAAATACTATTTGCGTTGACCCACCACCAAGATCAAATATCGCGGCTGTTTGTAATTTTACTTGTGAACCAATTTTTTCCAATAAATAGTTGACAGTAATCCATGCATATACCCCTGTAAAATTTAAATACAAAAACACAAAATGAATATTCCAAATCAAAAGTAAAATATTTAGGAAAATACAAAGCATATATACCTTCATCTTTACCATCCATGATCGCAACACCATCATCTTCAATAATGTAAAATGGATAATTTGTTTCTAAATGATAATGCACAGCGTCCAGAATATGTGCACTCTTTTCTTGACCCAACAAACGTAATCCAGCTGTCGCTTTAACAGCAATTGGTGTACAATGATGTAATTCTTCAGGAACATTATCCAAAGCTACCTTCAATAGTACATCTAAACTTCTTGCAGCTGCATCAGTGTCGTCAGCGTAGGCAGAAAGACCTGGTTGAATATGATGAAATATTTCATCTTCTAATTCAGGTGATGCTTTACAATAATTAAATTTATATACATGAATACGAGACCCAGTAGAACCAGCGTCAAGCATCAATGCATATTGGATCAATTGACGTCCTGGATACGCAACAGTGCAATGAGAAGATGTGATTTTTGAAGTGGTATCTTGAGGAATCTGTACCTCCTGAATAGGCATGCTATGATCTGTGATGTTGTTTTTTAATATAATAGATTTTGATCGTAAGTATACATGCCGCACAAACTACAAATCTTTAAAATCCCACCCAAACCCAAATCCCATGTGGAAAAATCTCAAATCCCAAACCGGACAAACCCTATTTGGGTTGTCATAATCCTAAACTTTGGCCAAATCCCAAACCCCATTCCAAATCCCAAACTTCATCTCATATCTCAAATCCCAAATCTCAAGTTTTCGATCCTAAAATCTCAATCCAAATTTTATGCTAGGATGTACCTTGTGCAAGATAAACCTAGTGTATATTTAACATATTGATATTTCATGCAAGATTATAGTTATATCGTGCAAGTTATCTAAAATACATTTGTGTGAAAGCACATTGCAGATGAGGTAGAATCGTTATATCGCGCAAGATATGCAGTGTTGGCAATTTAACCGGCCAAATTCATGTTTTTTTGGCCGATAAAATTGCTAACACTGAAGATATGTATATATAGTACGTATAGGCTCTTAATATATCATTACCAGAATAAAGATAATGAGATTTGAGATCTGGGATTTGAATGGGATGGTGTTTGGGATTTGGTAAATTGGGATTGGGATTTGTCCGGTTTTTACCATGTGGGATTTTAGACTTGACCGGACAATCCCATTTGTTCAAGTTTTTCCATTGACAAATCTCAAAAGTTTGTCCGGCAAGTATAATCGTAAGTAATATAAAGAGAAAGTATGTAAAACATAAATATTATGTAAGAAAGGTTGCAATATACCAACAGAAATTGACTGTTCCGAATCAGAGTTAGATTTTTCCTTAGGAATAAAGAGCCATGCCACAAACATAAGAAGTAAAAGAAAGCTTGCTACACGGAGCCACTTTCTATTTTGCTTGTTGTTTAATGCCATTTTTTCGGCTTTCTGGTCAAGCATGATTTCTTGAAAGCCGTTCTCCGCTGTATCAAGCGCTAGCGAGCTTTTCCTGCGAGAATGAATGGTTGTAGTGTTTGAGTCAGAGCCTGGAGACTGTATCTCAGAAGTAAAGCCAGAAGCTGATAAAACGTTGGACACTGAAGACTCTCTTTGCTGCATCGGCTAACCGAAGATATGAATATTTTGAGTGATCCTTTAGATCAACGTTATATTATATTTTATATGCATATAGATACAACTTATTTATCCCGTGCATGCTACAGTAATTTGATTTTGTGCTACGTATCGTTATAAATTTGGTTTTATCCGGCATTTTCTATTTATCCGTTTTTGAATTAAAATGCAAATATACGTACAAATGACAACAGGAGGAACTAGTGTTGTAAACCGAATGGTTTTGATCGGCTGGCTAAGCCAGCCGATCAAAATATCGGCTAAACGGCTGGTAATGGCTAATATAATTTTATTATTATTATTATATATATATATTGGTCGTCTCATTACAAAACCAAAGACTGGTATTTCAATCTAAACAATGTATGCCCAATCCTCCTGATTTTATTATCTCATCTATCTTTCAGAACAATGATGTGAAGTATTTATTTAAAAGGTATATAGTACAGTACAGTCAGACCTCCCTAAGCATAATACACCAACTTGATACATTTGAATTAAAATGTAATTACACAAAATTTTACATATTAACTTACAATTAAATAAATAT